TAAAGTACCAGTAATAAAGGAATGTCGTAGAAAATAATTTCTGTGAATAGAATGCCAGCTGCGTCAAGACAGTGGTAAGTGGTCGTCAAAGGATATAGAAATTAGAAGAAACAAGCGGCGGCGATGAATGCGACGACAAGGCCAGCGACAGCAGTGTTGCCTTGATGGCGACCTGCCTCGCTTTCCTTGGATTGGGTGGGAGCCGCTCCAGAGTCGACCTCAGTGGCCGCAGCGGTCTCCTCAGACTCGGAGGAGGTGTAGGTAGAGGTTCCGTTCTCACGGAAGATACCAGGCTTGACAGTAGGGTAGATCTTCTTGGTGCTCTTGTGCTTGGTGGTCTTGGAAGTAGCAGTGGTGAAGATGGTTGAGGTAGGCTCCTCGGAGGAAGTCTCGGAAGAAGTCTCCTGCTCGGTGGTGCTGCTAGACTCAGCAGAAGAGGTAGTCTCAACACTGGTAGTGCTGGTGGAGGTTGAGGAAGTGGTGGTGGGGTGGGCCGAAGTAGTGGGCTCAGCGGTGGTCGAAGGCTCCTCGGTGGTAGAGACAACGGGTTCCTTAGAAGTAGTAACCTTGGCCTGGGTTGTTGTAGAGGGCTTAGCCTCAGCGGTAGAAGACTCGGTCTCTTCATCATCGTCATCACCGCCGGATGAGCCTTTGCCAGAAGAGAAGGCAACGATCTGAGCAGTGCTACCCTTCTGCACGGTAACGACACAGAAGGCAGCGCCACCAGCACCCTTGGCGGAAAGGCTGCTGCCGACGTTGCCTTCACCATTGGCAGGGTCGATCTTGCAAGGAAGGCCATTGCAACCGCCGTCGGGGCACTGAATCTCAACACCGAAGTCGGGCAGCTTGCTCTTCAGAGCTGAGTCCTCCCAGATAGGGTTCCAACCAATCTTGACAAAGGTCTGGCCGTTGGCCTCAGTGTTAGCACCGGCAACGTAGGGGCTCCAGTTACCAATGGGCTCAGACTCGGTACCCCAGATGCAGCCCTCCTCACCAGTGCCAGGGGGGTTGATGTAGAAGCTGTATGATCGTTAGAGATCTTCGATGATCAACAAGACTTGGGTGACTTACTGAGCAGCGGTGGAGCACCAGTACGAAGATCCGGGAACAGCCAGAGTTGCGCTAGAAGTGACAAGAGTAGGGATAAGCATAGCCTCATTACCAGGCAGAACAGTCTGGCACCAAGACATCTTGGAACCACACTTGTTGACAGCCTCAATGGAACCAGTGCCAGAAACACAGTTGGGCTTGCCCTCGAAAGGCTTCTCAATTTCACCGTTCTTGTTGCAGAAGAGACCTCCGTTCTGAGAAGTGTTAGTTACATGTACCGGAGTTGCTAGATATCACAAGCCAGGCGTACCATTGAAGCGGGATACTCATAAGTGGAATCCGGATCCCATTGGTTCATAACCATACCGGGCTTGCAGGCAAAAGGGCAGTAAGATCCAGGCTTGCACTCCTGATCAGGGCTCATAGCCCAACCGGCGTTCTTCGCATCGGGAGTGACGGCGACCATGTTGGGGTCATCGGTAGGGAACTGGCATTGTCCACCACGCTTCTCAAGGGTCGAAGACTGAACGGGAAGATGTTGTCGCAAGTGCTCAAAACCATTGTGACGGTGACCGTGTTGCTTGCCAGCGACCACTGATGGCGCAGACAAGGCGCCCAGAAGGGCAGCCGAAAGGTTGATGAGTCTCATTGAGAGTGTCGTCGATGAATACGAGTCGATTTCGTTTCGGTTAATTCCAGAACGGTTGTTCTTATTTTATATGCGCGAATACCTCCAGTCCTTCAACTATTGTCACGAACGAGACATATATCCTGACGGGCGTTTGGTAAAAAAGAGTGTAATTGTCGTCGAGCAACAGAACGAGTGATGCAGCTGACGAGGAAAAGTCGATGAACTCGCGGACCAGCGACAGAAACGTTTTAACAAAGCAAGGAAACAAAGAAGAACGAGTGACAGGCAAGGAAGCAAGGAAGCAAGGACATGAATATTAAGAGATCGACAGGTCCACGAGATGGATATGGATCCCCAGGAAATGAGCCATGGGCAGAAGCGCGGACACCAGCGCAGTCACCCACAACAAGGAGATTGAGCCGTAGGCGAGGGCCTCGTCTGAGTGGGCTCGTGGCCAGGCCCCATGCTGAGCCATGGCCTCACGGTACCTGCATGGAAGTGAGAGGCCCTGTTTCTGTGTGGATGCCCTCTGTGACGGGGGGTCGAGTAATGTAACCGTCTCCAATCAGACGTTGGCATGTCTGACCCCTGGCCTCGATCTAGCCAATCCTGTTGAGACGGTGCCTGGTTCGAGTTCTTGGCTCAGGGGATCACGCTCGGAGCAGATTAGAGTCAACCATATCATGTCAAGGTGATGCTTAATTGTGCAGCTGTCGATGCCAAAGAGGGACGACTCTGCGGCCCATGGTACCAGCATGTTCGGAACGAGGGCCGGATGGGGCAACGGCATCGTTTTCCACCAAGGCTCGCTGTAAGAGAGATCCTGGGGTTCAGGGCATTCAGGTCATCTAACCACCATTGTCTCGGTTCTGTTTCTCGTTCAGATTCAGATTTTGATTCTGGGTTGTCTCGTCCCTGATTTTAGGAACCGGAGTCTGTGTCATTGCACTCTCGACACGCTACCCCTGGACGTTTTTCTGTGGCTTGCGACAGAGGCTCACATTGGCCCGTTGGCTCTTAAAGCCCCTGACGAGTGGTTTTTCCCGCAGCCTTTGTAACCATGGTTCCTGGGCCAATGTGTCTTTGGTTAGCGTTCAAGCAGTCCCCAGACGGCTCGGAGCCACAACTGATAGCCTACTCAACGCGTGCTGTGCCACTCACAATTGGCCAGGGAGACGCGCTTGAGTGCTGGATTCTGGAGGGCGAGTCAGCTCTCCTCGTCAAAGTAAGATTGATGGCAGCAGTCACCTTCCAAAGAGGGGTCAGTAATTTCACTGTTTGTTAGTGTATTCGGCTGAAGATCGACGTCATGCTCCCCTGTTTAGTGTGAATCGTCGGTGGAATAAAGTTGACAATATCCGTACGAGAAACCACAAGTTTCGGGATAATATAAACACGTTTTGGCGCCATCTCGATATTTATGAGCCGCTTATACGAGCAGTATAAGTCAAGTTAAAGATGTCGTGAACCAGAGTGACAGGACGAGATCGGGACAGGCGCACTCGCACGTGACTCAACAGCTTCCTTCCGTCAGCGTGGAGGTTGACTCGATAGGTGCAACATGTCTTACTACAAGACTCTCGCATGAAATCTCTTCCGTTTCGAATATCGGTGTGATTCAAACTGAAAACTGTCTTGGAAATTCTCAATCCCTTTTCCTTTTCCTTTCCCTTCAGCTGAACGATACATTCAAAGAGGGGCATTATACGATACGAACCACCGATATCGCATCACTGAGGATCCGAATGTCGCTTAAAATCGCTAAACATTCCTAGGATTTGTAGCATCCGGGGACTGATCAATGCATATTATCCATGTAATGCGATAAGGACAAGCGATTCATGCTCGCCTCCATCCCGCCAGTGGAAATGGCCAAGTTGAAGGGGTGTCAGGAGGACAATATGTCATGACGGCCCCTATCTATCCTGCCAGCTTCTGATGAAGCTGAGATACTGGGATCTGTGACAATGGAATGTCTCGGTAGCTTAGTAGTGTAAATCAAGCATAGTTTTTTATACTATGATTCAATTGGAATCTGAACCATACCAGGCCATTACTTGTGACAAGAACTCGTTCGTGAATGAAAGGATGACTGAGATTGAAGCAAAAAGACACGATGCTCCAGGGTAAATATAGATTTTGCGATCGAATCAATCAGATCGTGGTCGGTAGTTGACGGTTCCAGAACTAGGTGTTTTTTCCCGTGGATAAAGGGTAGGTAATTTTATTAAGCCGTGTCTCGTCTCAACTCAAACAATAAACACTCAATAGTTATGACGAGCACCAAGCGGGAGTGGCGCACGGCATAAGAGAACAAAGGGGATGATGACCTGCATGGCGCTGAAGCCACAATAATAAAAAGGTTTCAAGTTTCAAAACTAATGGAGTTTGTTTGTGACGTCTTGATTACATATCGAAGATCTACGAAACATGTAGCTGAAACGTCCAATATAATTGACTTTACACCAATGGAGTTGGTGTTGATGACTTGTTTCTGTTTCTTTGAACGATATACTGACAGTGCTTGAATATGTAAGAACCACAAACCAAAGAAAGATAAGCGAAATGTTTGCAAACAGTGGAGATGTTTCCTCTCATTCTAGACAAGAAACAAAACATCTCTAAATCGGCTGTGCTTACACACGTAGACCATAATAGAGGCCGATGATAATTATAACGCAGAAAACCCCAGTTTATTCCTCACTCAACCTGGGGAAACCTGGCCAACAAACCCAGCAAAATCATCTCATTCGACACTTTCACCGGATCATTCAGTCTCCGTGAGAATTGAAATGCCGTTGGTGCTGACAGGAATCCCCCATCCCCCATCGCAGAAGCGCTTACTCGATTATTTTTAGAGGAGAAAAGGGAGGGGGTCGGCGATTACTGCGCGTTGGCGTCGCTTGCACAGCCCACGAACCCTCGAAATAGCGGTAAACCACCAATCAGCGACACTCGCTCAGCACCAAGGCCGCTAGGATGAGGCTGGTAAACAAGACGGATATGCCATCTTCCGTAGGATGTCGACTATTTTTGACTTGACTGTGCAGAGCCTCTGAGGCTGTCTTGTTCCTGGCCTGGGCCTTGGTCTGACAGCTCAGCACAGCTCAGCATCGTGAGTCTTGTGCCTGGGTTCATGCGGTTTTTTGGAGATGAGAATATGGGTATAAGAAGATGGTGGTGTCCGGTCGAGTTTGGAGATATCATTCATAGCATCTTTCAAGCATTACAAGTCTTACATTCACAACAGTCTCATCATCTCATCTCATCTCACTTTCCTCTTCAAACTCTATACTTCAACATCTTAACATCTTTCACAATGAAGTTCACCACTGCTCTCGTCTCTGCCGTTCTGGCCTTCACCCCCTTCGCCGAGGCAGCTCCTCGCAACACTCGCCGAGGAGACTCTAGCAAGCCTCTCAGTCTGACTGCCCAGCTTCGACTCGCTGATACGTAAGCAACCCCCAAAGATGACTTGGCTAGGACACACATGACTAACATATATTCAGTGCCGCTGACCGCTTTGCTCTCCTCCCCGAAGACGATGACTTTGTCTTTGACTTCAACAAGAAGCAGGATAACCCTGGAAAGGGCGGCGAGCTCATCGCTGCCAACCGTGCCAACTTCCCTGCTCTTGTTGGTACTGGTGCTGGTATGGCTTTTGGCAGAATCGATCGTGAGTTTCCCTTATATCATCTCGATACAACAGCACTAACATGTTATCAGCCTGTGGCATGAACACTCTTCACGTTCACCCTCGCTCCGCCGAACTCCAAGTCGTCACCTCCGGCCGTCTCATCACCGAGATGGTCCCTGAGAACGGCGTCCTCGACAAGGATGGCAAGCGTCGTGTTATCCGCACCGAGCTCACAGCCAACATGATGACTCCCTTCTACCAAGGCTCCATCCACACCCAGTTCAACCCCGACTGTGAACCCGCTACCTTCATCGCCACCTTTGCAACTGAGGACTTTGGCACTGGCCAGATCGCTGATGAGCTTGTGTCCCTAAGCGACGATGTCATTGCTGCTACCTTTGGCCAGAGCATCGCCGGTGAGGATATCGACAAGGTTCGCCAGGCTGTTCCTGAGAGCATTGCTCTGGGTGTTGACAAGTGCCTCGAGACCTGTGGCCTCAAGAAGCGATCCATCTAAGATGGATTCCTCCTTATATTTCTTTCTTTCTTCGAGTCATAGCATGGAATGAGCATGTGAGCGATGTTTCTTCCCCTGGCGTTATTCTTGAGTTCGGTAGCATAGACGGAGATACCCTAGTTCTACCCAGTAGATATTGATAGGATCCGGCATTTTGTTTGTTCATAGATAGCATTTGGTACATATTATACAAGTTTTTCTTTCATCTAGTTTCCATGCATCGTGATACGAATCCTCCATCATGCTCTTGACTTCATCCCCCTACAGACCCTTTTCGCGATGACCAACAACCTTGGCGAAGGAGTCAAAGGACATAGTCATCGAGTGCCGTCCCGCAGTCTTGCTTCTCAAATGGTTATCATAGTCCAGCATCTCTTTGTACGGGACCTTGGCAATAATCTCAACAACTCTAGCTGAAGACTTCTTACCGCGCAGAGAAGTGATAGAATCATACGGATCAGGAGGGGTGTAAATCTTGGACACATCAATATGATCCTCTCCAGTCGACTCAGCAGATCGATCATTGACCTCAAGAACCTGGCCACCAGCACCAGCAGTGACATCATGCTGTACGGTACCGGCTACAACCTCTGGACATGTAATGGTAACATGCATGATAGGCTCAAGAATGCCGATCTTTTCTTTCTCGAAAGCATCGCGAAGAGCTGCCTGGACGGCAGTCCTAGCGGCAGTGCTGAAATGTCCTCCCGTGGGAGTTTCACAGGCGCCGGGTTCTGTGTCCAATGTGATGGTAACGTGGCACCCGTGAATGGGCGCTGCACGACGAGGGCCCCTCGCCAGACCTGCTATAGCTCCATTGAGGAGCTGCGCCCTCGCCTCTTCTGGGTCAAAGTCAAGAGTGCCAGTCTCATCTGTCAAGGGAATAGCGACGTGGTATATGTTACCGTCTCGCTCGACGCAAGACTCTAATAAAGTGTCATGATGATGGTCTTCAAGCGGCGAGAGGACAACGGTGCAGGAAGCTTTACCGGGTTTGCCGGCAACGGGACGGTCAAAGACTGTGTGTTGTGGCTCTGTAGGCTCTGTGACGCATTCCTTGTAGTCAACTTCGATAGGACCGAAGTCGGCATCGATCTTGTACTTTTGCTTCATGTTGTATAGTGACACATCGAGATGAAGCTTGCCCATACCCTGGATTGTGAACTGCTCTGTTTTGGGATCTCGGCTGTACCGTAGACTTGGATCTTCGCGTGTAGTGTTTTCTAAGGCGATTTGAAGTTGTTGAGCGGCAACGTTACCGTATGGCTCAACTTGAAGGAACGCCACGGGCGGTGGGATCTCGGGTGGTCGAATCTTGACATGGCGGAAGTTCTCAGGAATGGGCTTGTTGGCATTCATCGTAACAAGCGTATCGCCCGTACGGGCTTTCTTCAGTCCTCTCAAAGCTCCAATCTGCCCAACACCAAGCGACTGAATATCCTGTGTCTTGTTGGCAGCGATCTGAAGAATGCCCATGGGCTTTTCGTGTGTTAGAATGTTGGTGTTGAAACTTGATGCGTTTCTGGTGAGAGTGCCGTGATAGACTCGCACGAAGCTGATGACACCCTCCTTGGGATGATTGAAGACTTTGAAGACCGAAGAAATAGACGCAACCTGATTCCTCGCGGATTTGGGGCTGTTGTCGAGAACTTCTGTTAGGCGATGCTTTGCTGATCCGACTCGGACTTCTGCTGATGGACGTTCGTCTGGGCTTGGTAGATAATCTGTGATAGCGTCCATCAGTGGCTCAACACCGATATGTCGGAAACTTGAGCCAGCGAATACTGGAATGACTCGACCATCGCCGCTCCTGATGACTCGTCGAATAGCCTCTTTTATCAAAGCACCATCGATGTTTTCGTTCTCAGCCAGAAACTCATCCATGATAGCCTCATCAAAATCCGCAAGTCCCTCAATCAAAGCCTGTCTCGCAGTCTCAATTTCGGGTAAAAGATCTTTGTTTGAGCTTAAGAGTTTCTCCTTCAGCTCCTCGGTATTGTATCGCTTCTTTTCACGTTCCGACTTCCATCGGTATCCTACTCTGTCGACAATATCAATAACACCAACAAAATCCTCCTTCTCCCACCAAGGAATCTGGCAGACAAGCGGCCATCCTTTCAGACGCGTACCAATCTCAAGGACGGCCTTTTTGAACGAAGCACCCTCTCGATCCAGTTTGTTGCAGTACACTATACGGGGGACTTTGAACTCATGAGCAGATCCCCACACTCTTTCTGTGTGAGCTTCAACGCCTTTGACCGAGTCGATGATACAGACTGCACCATCGAGAATGGGGAGACAACGGTCAACTTCGAAACGAAAGTCTTGATGGCCGGGAGTGTCGATGAGGTTGATTGTCTTTGCATGTTCTCCTGGTGCGAGTGCTTGGTGTCTGGGCCAGTGGAATGTGATGGCTGCTGATTGAATGGTGATGCCCCTTTCTCGCTCCAAGTCGAGAAAGTCAGTCACTGTATTTCCAGAGTCGACATCTACATTTTGTCAGTATAATTTGTTAGTGAGTCTGAGATATAGATATGCCTACCTCCAACACGTTGCGTGACACCACTATAATATAGCATTCGCTCCGTGGTAGTTGTTTTACCCTGTAAAATATGAGAGCTATTCATTAAATGATGTCTGAATTCTAACTTACAGCATCAACATGGGCTATAATACCAATATTTCGAATGTTGTGTAGTTGAGTATCATGATGAGCCTGATGCATAGCTCTACGGCTCAAATTCATGAGCTCTTTGTTGCGCCATTGACGGGCAAGACAACGGCCCGAGCCTTTTACAGCCGGGCCATTCCGTAACAAGGATAGAATAATCATTCCAACCTCGGAAATAAACCAAGATTTGAATGCTTCATCTCAGTGTCTCTCTCTCTCTCTCTCTCTCTTCTTCGTCTTTTGAGGTTGATTTTGAGCTTTCTCTGCTGTTTTTGGAAACGCTTTGATGTCATTCGCCAAAACTAAGCTTCAACTCCACTACCAACTCCTGATCACCAGCCTCTGCATTCTCATTGGTCAAACCCCCGTAAAAGAATTCCAAGACCCCCTCAAGGCCCCAAAACTTGAAGCTTAGGTTGGTCCCGTTCTGGGGGGGCTTTGAGGCGTAGCCTGTCGTTAGCTTCAAACTCGGGGCTACCTACGTAATCTTGCTCCTTGTGCTTTTCACCTCCCGTCTCCGTCCGTCTTCGTCACCTTGCAACACTTACATACGCCTCCCATCACAACTCGTCTGCCTTTTGACGCGACTGCCCTTAAACTGCTGCCTACGCGATACTTTTCAGTATTAAACTCGATTCTACCTCGATTCTCTACGGCGCAGTCTTCAAATCAATCCTAAATCAATCATCATGGAGCTCTCTGACATCTTGTGAGTACCTAGCTAGCTAAGATGCACTATAGTATCTTGACCAGAATAAGTCGCTAACCATCGCCTTCAACTGTAGCCGCATTGTCAACTTGGCTGTTGGTGTTATCACCGTCCTCGGTGGTATCGCGTCCATCTTCCATCTCGGCCTGTACGTACAAACCAATCTGCGCGACACCTCGACAGCACGAATACTGACAATGGCTTTGTAGTCAACCCATTGTTGTCGGCGCTTACATGATCGTCTTTGGTCTCGTCATTGCTCTGCTCGGTACGTTGCGATTCTGACCGAACCTCCCATGCGCCATGCCTAACAAATCGCAGAGTTTCAGATCCCTCCCCAGGTCTCCCGACATGCCTCGTTCATGTTCTCCTTCATCGGCCGTGGTGTCTGTAAGTAATACCTAGGACAAGCCCACTCTGATACACCACTGACACTCCCAAGTCTACGTCTTCATTGGCTGCCTTCTGTTGGGCAACTTCATCCTTAGCAAGATTGCTGGTAGCATCATCGGTATCGTCGGTCTCGGCTACATCGCCCTCGAGTTCATCCCCTCCATCGAGCCCCCCAGCAACATGCGCGAGGCCGAAGATGCCGGTTGGGGCGCCGAGCAGGTCTAGAATGCCGACGCCAACCAACCGGGATCAACCCCTGCGGTTGCCTCTTCAAACACAGGCGCATAAGCTTCCGCAACAACCATTCGATCATAATACGAATGACAGCGTAAACGCGCAACAAACGCGGTGAACCAGGACGTATAGGATAAATTACTTGAAAAATCAATGCTACAAGAGGGGGAGTAGAAAGGGCTGTATTTCTATGAATTGGAGAAGGGAGGAGAGCATGAAGAGAGGAGTGGCTCGTTTCAATGGCATTGCATACGAGGTTCACGAGAATCAGTGAATAACGATTTGAAGAGATGAACCATTAGCAAAGAGACATTATTATAAGGACGTCGGGATCGAATATTCTATTGTCTAGTATACCTGATGCTCCCTCATGCCATGAAATCAAACGCCATTATTTCAACATCAACAAGATACTATTTCATGCTTCTTATGTCCTTGGACTCCTCAGGAAGCTAACTACACCACTGCAGTATCCAACCAGTCCGTCCAACCGGTTGCACTCCTTCTCTTGATATGACTTCCACTCGCTCAACGCCGCCAACAGATCCTGGTTCTCCATCACCAGATCAAAGTGTAATCGCAGAAACACGGTCATCCACGCCTGAGTAAGCTCATAGTCTCGACGAGTCTTGAGACGAGCCGTCAAAGCGCGGATAAAGTGTAACAGTTCATTCGAGTCCTCATCGCCATCGCCGATAGAAAGCGAGCGAAGTTCGAGATCTGCGCTTGAAGGGGAGAGGGACTTGAGATGCTCAATGAACTCATCATCTGTGATACGTTAGTATACATACATTGTAGTGTGAGTGAAATGTGACTTACAACTTCCGGTCTCTGCTCCAGCACGGAGCTTGGTGCTGAGAACCTCCTCAAAACGAGCCTTCTCGACTCTTGTGATGCGAGAGCTGCTCTCTGCCTCGCTCTCACTCTGGAGCTTAGAAGCCATAGGGTTCTCCTTTCCTGTCGTCGAAGGCAAGAAGAATGGGGCCTTCTCGGGGGCCTTGGGGGCCTCGGTGGGCTTATTTCGCTCCTTGATAAGATCCAGGTGCAGCAATGTTTGCCAGCGGCTCTTGGGAACCAATGACAGCGTTGTGAGCTCAGAGCTGAGCTGTTCAATCGTTGGTGCCACCACAGTATCCTCGTCCTCAGCTTGCTCCTCCTCAAACGCACCCTCCAGCATACCATGGCTGTTCTCGCCGGACACTGTAGGAGCAGAGACTTGGCCAATCTCCTTCTCGGAGATTTGACGCGTGGGAACATGCTTGAACAGGGCCTTGTTGGTCCAGAGCGTTACTCCCAACTCGTTCTCGATTGTTGCAGCCAAGTATTCGCCAGTAACAGACATTGCCAGTGCCTTACAAGGCTTCTCGAGTCTGATAGCATCGATCAAGTGACTCGTCGGAAGATCCCATACACGAATGACACGATCTTGAGAAGCAGCGATGATCCATCGTCCATCGTTGGAGAAGCAGAAATCGTTGATGGCACCTTGAGGTCCCCAGAACTCACGAATGGTTCTCTTTGTCTCCATATCCACCACTCGAATTGACAGATCGTCGCATGAGAAAGCAAGGAGATTGCTCGCAGGGTGGTATCTGCATCCTGTTGGGAATGTCATAGGTGCCCAGTCAATCTGCTCTAATAGGTTTCCAGTCAAGAAGTCCCAGAATTTGATCTTGCCATCCAGAGAGCAAGACACCACGTTCTTGTTCATGGAATCGACAACAAGGCCAGTAATACGCTTAGTATGCTTTCCGGTACCAACTGGGAACTGGCGAGTAGCCTCGGCATGCATTTGTACGATATCGTCCGCCTGTCGTAGTTGCTGCATCTTGAGCTGACGAGCTTGACCTGGTGTCAATCTTGAAGGGAATCGTTGGCGATGATTTCCTGACTGAAGGTTGTACATATCAATGCCACCAGATTCAGCACCAACGAGCGCAAAGGTACCACAGGGGCTGATAGCAACGGTAGAAACGTTGGTCTCATCTCCGGTAGGGAACGCCCATCTACCAGCTCGCTTTCGGCCCCAGAACCATGTCCTGGCATAGGGATCGTTCTTGTGAGCGGTGACGACACTCTCCCAACCAGTCATACCACTGACTTCAGCATCCTGGGCCTTCTTCCTGTCTCGAGACTTTTGCCATATAGGCTGGTTGCCGGGCATAGCACCAATGCCACCATCTCGGTTCAATGAGGATGCCATACAAGTAATCTCAGGGGCCTTGAGGTCCTCCAGGGTTGTTGTAGGTCCATGTGATAGAGCGTTTGTGGCTAGAATGCCAATCTTCTTGGCCTTCTTGCGAATGTTGCCCTGACTCAACTCTGTGCTCTGACCATCACGGCGCAGACTCCATCCCCAGAGGCTTCGATCTTGTCCACCACTGAGCAACCACTTGTTACCGGCATCGGCACCATCAAAGTCGGTAGGAAGGAATTCGAGGCAGTTGACAGGACCAGCATGGCCGCTGCGAGAGTGGAGAATTCGAGGGATAGGAGAGAAAGGCGTCTCGTCGAAGATCCAGGACTTGAGAGAGTTATCGCGACCACTGGTCACCACCACTGGTTGTCCGGGGAGAAACTCAATTTTGCTAATTCCACCACGGACAAGCGGTCCATCGTAAGAAGGAGGGTTATGAGCGCTTCGCAAGACACCCATAACACGACCACCGCCGTTCAAATCCCAGAATGTGACATCACCAGTAGCAGCTGTCGCCGTAGCCATAACACCATCCTTTCGTCCATCATTACCCGCTCCCATACCGTCAGTCCGGAAAGAAATTGAGTTGACCTGCGCCTCTGAGCTTCCAGCCTCGATGCGAAGAGTGACCTTATCGGTTAAAACATTCGTGATAATGAGAGTTCCTTCAGAATATGCGATAGCCAGAAGAGACAGAGCAGGGCTAGGTTCTAGGCATGTTACAGAACCGCAGTCGGGAGCCGGAGGAAGAATAGTGTAAATGAGCTTGCCGGTGCTGATGTTCCAGATCTCGACCCAGCCATCTTTGCGACCCACGAAGATCTTGTTGAGGAAAGTTGGCATAGAAACAATGCCGCCAGTTATTTCGTTGCCGCGGTTGTTAGCAGGCGTAGTGTGAATAGTGGTGTAGTGCTCCAGGGTGGCCGTCTTGAAAACTTCGATTCGCGTAGTAGCAGCGACGATAGTCCATATTCCCAGGATAAGAATTTGCTTTACAGGCTCGTTGAGGTCTGAGGGCAGCGCAAGCTCATCGACCTTCTTGCCCCTCTGGAACACCCAGATACCCTGAGATTCGCCCTTCTTTGATTCGCCCCATGCTGCGAAAATCTTTTCCTTCCAGGCGAGAGTCGCAGTGATGTCGGCGGGGGTTTGCGGGCGAGTGATGAAGACGAGGTTCAATCCGCGACGAAGATCGTAGGTCTGAATAGATCGGCCAACTGAGGTTGAGATTTGAAAGGTGGTCTTCCCGAGAGGGATCGATGTGAAGGGGACACTCGTAGGTGATACTAGACCGACAGTCTGAGGCATAAAAATTAGCTATTGGAGCACAACTCTCAGTCGAATGGACATACACGGAAGGGCGCAAAGATTCTCGACGAGTCTGAAGCAGCTTTTAAAGCATTGGCGGGCGCCGCAGTCTTCTGGCGCTTGACCACGGGGTGGTCAGCATCCTTATGAGGCATTGTAATTATGTGAGATGCAGCGCCTGGTACAAGTAGCGACAGAGGTTACCTCAAAGATGCCCGCTTGCGCTCTGCGATTGAGGCTGCTCTACGTGATACTGCAGCCATGTCCAAAAATTTACAATTTTTGGCGGTGAAGTGGGGCAGTATTTTCAGTGCGTGGTTGAAGTAATTATTCTAGGTTGGTACTGGATGTTGAATTTAGCTTTTAGACTTTCTGCAAGTCATTGAATTACGAGAAGCACCTCTAAATATCTGATTGGACCTTTGAAGCTATCAGAGCTCGGTTCATGCAACTTCGTGGCCTCCCTAGACAGCTGGAAAGGCATGTTTCATCACAGATCACAGTGTACGGTTCATTTTGTCATCTGCCTGCCGACGAACAACGGAGCATGGCCAACTGATTTGCAGATAATCTTGGCACTAGCCCTCTTGCATACAGCGCGGGTAAGCCAAGGCGCATAGGACACCACTAGCGGGGAGATGGCTGGACTGGAATTCCGGGGATAGCATCTGGGTTTTGAGGTGTGATCCATCATCCGAAGGGAACTGGTATGAAGGCGCCAGACCATCACGATCTTAGCCAGGGGAAATCTGGCAGTCTGGTCCCTTTGAATCGGAACTCTGAACTCTCGTGCCTAGTTGCACAAATAAGGCTGCAAAGTTTCCCCAAGTACGCCCCAATTACGACTCGGCGTAACCGACGTAATACGCAGCAGTTGATCCAATATTCACAAGACAAGCAGACAAGATTCTGGATCATCGTGGATGTTGGGTGACACGACGCCAAGAATATTGGGGTTTGTTCAAAACAGGGAGGAGGAATTTGGTCGTGTGCCTCACTGCCTTGGTACTGGTACTCTTATGTGAGCGGCCAGCAACGGGATGACAAATGGCCAAGCTTGGAGCTGAGTGCATGCTTTAGTTGGTTGAGTTGATGAGGAAACAATCCTGCGCATCTCGTCTTTACTGAAAGAAAGGCTTGTCATTGTTCTTTTGTTTGATTGGATGTTCCGTATCACGATTTCTCTTTGACAAGGGTGAGCTTTTTGTCCCCTGCTCTCTTCTAAACATAGTAAACAACAGCTTCGTCACACAGTCGCACTCTACCTGAGAGAGATCTGCTGTAGATAAAGCGAGCTACCCCACTATACATGATTCAACTCTTCGAAACAATCCTTGTCGAAGCCAGACATGACACAGTAAGAGAGAATAGACAGGGCACTATGTAAGACTCTAATATTTTGGAGCGCCTCCAACAGCCGAGAAACGCTCCAGGTGTAGGGGTGATCTGATACAAACTGATCCACATCCATCTCAACGTAAACGTCACCATGATATTGGCGCCTGGATATACACCCCGATCCAACCAAGGCGGCAGCACACGACCAGGCTGTAGGCTGCAGGCTCCAGGCTAGGTAGGGAATACATCAGGTACCGACCAACAGCAAGATGATGATATTCTGAGTTAAATAGACGAGACGGGGAAAAGGGTTTCGGGATCATCTACTGTAAAAAGTCTTGCACTAAACTGAGCCCCTCGTATTTGCGCAGTAACCGACCGGGCATCCCACCGTATCAAGACATAACCAGGTAGAAAAGGTCCACTACATCATTCAAGGTCCCAGTTGTTACGGTGCAGCAAATGGAATGGATACTCACAAAGAACTACCGAGTTTGAAAGGGAAATAAAAGAGAACAAGACCCCTTTTATCATCCATTGATGCTAAAAGCGGATCAGAGTTTCTAGGCCAGGAGAGGCAGGACGATGACGATACAAAGCAGAGCAACTCCTTGTTCCAGAGCCCTCTCTTTTTGTTTCAGCGGTGGCGCAGTGAAGAGGAGAGCGGCTCAGCAGAGTAGAGCAGAGCAGAACAAGGCAAGGTAAGGTAAGGTACCTAGACTGAGGTTACCTGTTACCTGCAGGGTTCGTAAGGCCAGGCATGCTTAGAATGTGTCAAAGAACCCGTCTGTGGTAAGGTGTGCGAGCTTAAACCAAGCCGCCGCCGTAATCCGAGCAGAGTCTGGACACGCTACGGATACTAAACTTCACCTTATTAGCTTAAAACAACCGCCTCAAAAAAGGTACGGCTACGGTACGGTACGGCATGGTCGGTATAGCTACCTACCTAGTACTATGTAATAACTCTGCCCTCCACGCTGTAACACGCGACCACATACCAACCCTGGGCACTTTGCATTTGGAGGTTTCATTGTTTCTGACACTCTTTCACTGTGCAAGCAGCTGGCGCAGGTTCCCATATATTTCCACTGCCTATCCCTGAATATCCTTGGAGGGGGTTGCGTGTCACTCTGTTTCACCTCCAATCACTTATACTCTCGCTCACTCACCCCAAACTGTCTGTACATACATACTGTGCTGAACCTGGGGCTTGGCTTTTCAGCTCCTGCTGCAGCATTCTTGTTAGTCTCTTCGTTTATATCTGACGAAAGCCTTATATCCGCTTGGCTTTTGCCCAGACCTGACCTTAATTCCTCCTCCCCTCCACCTCAGATCCAACCCTTCTTCCGTAACATCCATCCTCTTCCGCATCTCGTCGAACCCGATGATGTGAAGTAGGCCCAATATGCCTTCTTTAGTCTCTTATCTTTTTGCTGTCTTTTTCGTATCATTACTATTTACGAAGCTGCTACATCTATTCATCCACATCCATTCAATCGCCGTCATCGACTTTGTCGTCTATCTACCGACCTTCTTTTTACAAGACTTCTTCCTAGTTCTCTTCGCCCGGTTATTGCTGCGTCGAGAGCGAACAATTCTCTCTCTGATTGGTTATGTTCTTGGATGCTTTTTAACGTATATGCCCTCGATTTTTACCTTTCCGCTGGATCTCGTTATGGCTAACAGTGGCTGTATAGTTTGATAACGTTCGTTGCTGCGGCATCCGAGCTTGGTTTTCATTATAGAACAGGCGGCGAAGTCGAATGGAGCGACGCTGGTGATTTTGCTAATGACGAGGGTCTCAATGTTTTGATCAGCGAGAGCAGCAGCGTTATTGTTTCTGGTTTAATCATCCTCATCGTCGCATGGCTGCCTCAGAACTACCTGTACAGGGTCTTTGGCGACATCGTATCTGGAATTGGCAAGCGAATCGCTTCAGGTTTGTCGCTAAACTCTATTAAAATGCTTAATTTGCTAACGCTTGCAGTCTCTCGGTATTTGCGAGGCAAGATTCGCCCACAGCCACAACATCAGCAGGATCCTGAGAACGCCGAACCTTTCCTCCAGCGTGTCAACAGCGAAAGTACCGTCACAAACAGTGGCCATCCATCACCTAATTTGAGCCGCGACGCGGATGAGAAGGATTCGGAAGAGAATACACAAAAGCGACGCTGCTGTGCATTCATTCCTTCTTGGATCATCAACACCGTCGTCTTGCTCTTCATCGGCATCACCTGGGTTGCCCGCCCTGACCAACCTTATAATCACATCGCAAGCAGTTTGCCTCTACGATTGTCCGACTCTGTACGACCGAAGCTTGGACTCTGTGCTTCTCAAAACGAATTTCCCTTGCGACAGCTCATCGAGAAGTCAAGATGGCAGGACCCCAAGGGCAACTTCAAGGGATGGGCGCCCAGCAGAGAGAACAACGAATTGGTAAAGAAGTACAGAGAGAACCCTCCTGCTTGGCTTCCTAACCCCATCCCAAGCGGTTTTCTCAAGTGGAATCCTGATCGATACAAGGACGAGCATGATAAGAAAGATGGTCCCAGCAATATGTGCCCCAATACTTGGCAAGATCGGGGTTTCTACAACCCAGTCAACGACCCCATGCGAATTACTAACCTCGATCAAGAGATTCTGGCTCCCATTCAAGAGGCACTCTCAAATAACTCGGTCAAGATTAGACACGTTGCTCTTATTCTCATGGAGAGTATGCGCGAAGAACTCTTCCCCCTCCAGCAGGGTAGCGATATCCACCGATTCATCATGGAGTCGAACGACGAGAATTCCAGAGATGAAGTCAACGGCCGGGTGTCACGCATGACTCAGAACTTCGAGAAGATCACCGGAAAGCCAGGCAATTATCAAAGCGCAAACGGAAGTGCGTACGATCCTCCCGCGAAGCCCGTATGGAACGACCAGACGAAGCCCGGCTTTGGTGGTGTCAATGTTGTTGGAGGTCTTACTAGCAGCAGTGTCTCAACCAAGAGTCTCGCTGCCGCGCATTGCGGCGCTTGGCCCATGGCCGTCAACATGTTTGAAGAATCGGAACTCGAGAGCTATCAGCCCTGCATTCCGCAGATTCTCGAACTGTTCAACAAAGTCAAGGGCAACACTACAAAGCGAGAGGACAAGTCAGAGAGCGAGCCCCAAAAGGAGCGAGATTGGTGGGGATTCGGTGGTACTGCGCAAGCCAAGTTCCATGAGTACCGGTGGAAGCCCGCTTTCTTCCAAGCCGTTACAGACCACTATGACAGACAGGACAAGTTTGACGAGAAGATTGGTTTCGATTTCAAGGTCACCAAGCCCAGATTAGACGAGGAGGCCAAGGACAATCCTGAGATGGAGGAGATCAACTATTTTGGATACCCCGAAACCGATTTGAGGGAGCACATCAGAAAGTTTATCTCGGACGGCCTCGCCGAAGATAAGCGACTCTTCATGTCGCACTTTACCAGCACTACTCATCACCCTTGGGGGGTGCCCAAGTGGTTCGAGAAAGAGAAGTACATGGGTAAAGAGGGCGGCAATCATCAAGATCTTGACAAGTATCTCAACACCATCCGCTTCACCGACGCATGGCTCGGTGAGCTTATGCAGATGTTTGAGGACACCGGAATCGCTGATGAAACCCTCGTTGTCTTTGTTGGCGACCACGGTCAAGCATTCAAGGAAGATTTCTCAAAGACAGGTACCTACGAGAACCGTCATATCAGCAACTTTCGGGTTCCGATCTCTTTCCGACATCCCAGCATTCCCCGGGTGCAATACGAGGCCAACGTGACTTCGATCTCTATCCTTCCCACCATTCTCG